TAACTGAAATTAGTTATGGGCTCTACCTAATAAAAGTAAGTGTATGTAGTAGACATGTCTTGTGGTGTGACCCACCTCAGTACTTTCTATTCCTTCTGGAAGTTCTTCCAGTCCTCAAAGCTGCACCTATAGCAAATACATCTCTACCCTGTACTCTGCCTCTTTGGCTGTAAGTAACTGGTCCATGGATGCATACCTGACCCAAACTGAGAAAGTCAGATTTTTTTTTTAATGCTAAATATTTGGAATTTGGAATTGAATCACTGTATAGCTAATCCCATGTAAATCCATGAACTGTAGCTGAGACTTCCAATGTTAATTATGTTCCTGTTCCTCTTCAGCTTTGTTAAGCTCTTGGGTTTTGTTTTTGTTTTTACCTTAGATTAAAAAATAATATTGAAAAGATTTGTTGGTAGCTTTCAAAAATAATTTTAGTTTAAATCTTAAGAATTTTTTTCCAAAAATATGTTTCTCAATAGCCTATTGTGCAAAGTATAGTTGGTAAGTTTTCAGTAGGTAGAAATGGAAAGGGCTTAAGAGGAGAGGGGAATGTATGACATGTTTTTTAGGGACGATTTTGAATATGGCACTTCCTCTAAATTTTTTATGTTGAGTTATGCTTACTCCAGTGATTCTCGGTTGGTCACCTTCTTAGAGTGCTTTTTGGAAAAGTGAGGGTGTTTTGATTTCCATAGTGACTGGGGATGGAACTGGCATATGGATGTCCTGTGTCATGTGAAATAGTCCAACTACATGAACATTTGTTTTCTCCCCTCCACCATGTCTTGTGTTCTTTCCCCAGGCTAATCCCTCTACAGATGTGTATAGTTTTATATACATGCTAATACTGAAAAATCTGAACGAGATATTAAAAAGCTGAAGTTAGAAGGCTTTTGTTTAGCCATTTTTTGTTGCTGCATAGCAAAATAACACAAGTTTAGCTGCTTGAAACAACACTCATCTAATAGCTTGTGGTTCTGTAAGTCAAAAGCTGGGCTTTGATGGGTGTACTGTTCAGGGTCTCACAAGAGTGAAATAAAAGGGTCAGCCAAACTGTCTGGTTTTTAGGGCTGCTCCAGAGAAATAATCTGCTTGCAAACTATGGGTTATTGATAAAATCCATTTCCTTGTAGCTTATGGTCTGAGATGTGTGTTTGCTTGCTAGCTGTTGGCTAGAAGTCCCTCCCAGCTCCCAGCTGTCTAGTCATTGTACCTGGCTCCCTCATCCATTCTTTGGACAGAAATTGAATATTGAATATTTTTTGTTCTTTGAATATCTCTTGACTTCCTCTTCTGCCACTTAACCAGAAAAGATTCAACTTTTAAAATGCCCTCCTGGTTGGGTCAGTTCACCTACATAATCTCTGTACCTTAAGATCAGTTGATTGAGATTAAATACATTTATGAAATACCTGCTCTACAGTACCTAGATCATTGTTTGATTGAATAGCCAAAGAATAGTGATCTTGGGGACCATCTTAAGAATTCTACCTACTACTGTTGATATGAAGAAAGAAGCTTAAGTGAAGTACATTTTTTCAAAATAATTTATTCATCCTGCACATTCTGTTCTGAAAGTATTAAAGCATTTTCACTTGCATACTTAGTTGAAAAGGGCTTCAGTATGTTAGTGTTATTCCTACAAATGCAATGAGACTGACTGAAAATACATGACAGTAGATTTGAGATTCCTGATCAGACTTCATTAAATTAGTAGAGACTCTTGAAAGACTGAAATCTCATTGGATTTCTTTAATATAGGCTAATAGTATTTTGTATTATTGTCTCTATGTTTGTATAAGAAATCTTGGTTATGGGCCAGGAATTTAGCTCAGTGGTTCTGCTCCCTGCCTTGTAAGCACAAGGATCCAAGTTTGATCCCTGGTTAAAAAAAAACGAAAGAGAAAACAAAGAAATCTTGATTATGAACTTAAAATTTTATTTTGCGATAGCTGTAATTTTTCATTTTATTATAAAAGTAATCCCAATCTATTACTTAACTGCTTTATGGCTACTTGCATTACTGTTTTTCTTTTTTTCTAATTCATCTTCTATTTATTCTTACATTGTTAAAGAATAAGGTCTCCAAGATCTTTTTTTTTTTGTACGGGGGATCGAACTCAGGTCTTTGAGCTCATGAGGCAGTCACCAGAACCACTGAGCTAAATCCCCGACCCTCCAAGATCTTTTTTACAGACAAGTCACTGGTTGCCTATACCTCCATAGCATTTCAACACAGAACAATAGGTTTTCTGTGAACTGTCTTCTTATTACACATCAGGCATGATACTCTATAAATAGTACCTCACTCATTTGAGATAATACTGTTATTTAGTTTTTATGCTTTGTTACATTTCCATTATTACATATCTTATTACTGTTTGTTGCTCCAGTTTTGGTCCATCTCTCTGCTGTTTAATTCTCTTGTATTTGTCCAGAGAGACTTCTTTTTCTTTTTCTTTATTTTTTATTTTTATTTTTTGCAGTATTGGGGCTTAAACACAGGACTTTCACACTGAAAGTCACTTTCATATACCCAGCCCTCTTTTTATTTTTTATTTTGAGACAGTGCCTGGATCAATTTGGGATTTTTTTTTTTTTTTTTTTGGTTCCATCGATTGAACTTGGGACCTTGCACTTGCGAGGCTGGCGGAGGAACCACTGAGCTAAATCCCTGGCCCAATAATTTTGTTTTTAAATCCAGATTTATTTATCATAAATTGATATGTATATGTGGCTACTTCATTATATCTGTATGACTCCAAACATCTGCATATTGAAATACATATTTTTAAGTGCAAATTATTTTATTTCTTCTCTATATATTAGGACTTTTTGTATGTTAGGATATTTAAAAAAATTTTTTAGTAGATAGGCCATATCATCTACAAGTTTCACTTTTAGGGTGGTAAAGGAGGTATTTTAAAATATGTGGGATTAAGAAAGGAAGGTTTGGTCTCATAGGGCCCAGACCTCGTAGGAGTCTATCACTGAAGACTCTATCACCTGTCAGGCTTTCCTATACTGTCCCGTCACCAGTCAGCAGCCTGGATATCTTGCTGTAGAACAGAATAGGTCCCACTGCCTGTCTTCTAGTCTCAAAGGCTACTCTTCATTCATGTCTTCCCTTCCTCATTCGAATCTAGATGTATCATTTAATTTTCCTCAACTTTGCTGCAAGAGGTTCAGATTGTAATGTTCATACATTCAAAGTTCGCTAGCAGTGCTGTCTTTTGAAAAAGACTGTACAGTTTGCAGCACACTAGTTCTTTGTTTTTTTTCTCTTACCAATCAATTTGTGCAGCTTGCTTTTTAAATCCAAGCTGTCTTCCCCACTTCCCTGACAAAAACCCAAAAGTTTAGTGAAAGAATAGTTTTTTAGTACAGAGTATAGTCAGACATGTTTCAGATAAATCTGGTCAAGTTCTGTCCTCTCTAGATGGCTCATAACTATGTTGCAGTAGAAAAGGAATGAAGTAATATAGAAAAGAAAAAAGCAGTAGAGGAGAAATAAAAGCTAGGTTCTTGATCCTAGCCATCATTTTCTACCTTGAGCAGCTTCTCTTGAGTCTTGGTTTTCACACCAAGTAGAGAGAGATACAGTATCTGTTCTGCCTATCTGCCAGGGTTATTGTTAGGATCAAACAGCACTATAATAGCTGTTAGGTCTTACCACCTAGAAAAGCTTTGGTCATCAAATCAGTCTTATAGATGACTACAGATTAAATTTTTTCTTTTTTATTGCCAGAGCTAAAGCTATAGTATATATAGAATGTGTTGGAAAGGGACTTACAAGACCTAAACTGACTGGTTGGGTGGCCATTGAAGTAGAGTGGAGGTGGCAGTCAGGTATGTAATTCAATATGCAAATGTTTGGGAGTATAGAAACATAAGTAGCCAAGTGTAAAAGTCAATTTATGATAAATAAATCTAGGTTTAAAAATAAAATCACTGAGCCAGCTACTGGAAATAAAAATGGAAAAGACTAGCCAGGTACAGTGGCACATGATTGTAATCCCAGTACTCTGAGGCTAAAGCAAAAGGATCGCAAATTTGAGCCTGGCCTGGGCACCTTAGTGGCTTAGTGAGATCCTTTTTCAAAATAAAAAATAAAGGACTGGGGATGTAGCTCAGTACAAACACCTTGGGTTCAGTAGTAGTGAAAAAGGCAGGTATGGTGGGCAGAAGTATCAGCAGGATTGAAAATCAGTTGGACTTGGGGGTGAGGAGGTTTTGAACCCAGCAGACTAGGAGTACATGATCACTAAGCAGAACAAGTAAGGAAGCAGGGGAAGAGCTTCCCATGGAGACCAGCTGTATTCGAACTGCTGTTGGAGCACAAGGTGGAAATGTCCATGGCAGTTTGGAATATAGCCCTGGAACTTGAAGACGCAGGGTTTGGAGTCAGAACAGGGAGCACCTGTTCAATGAGTTTATATGCGATGAAAGACAGGGACTGAAGGTGGAGCCTGGTAGAACTGGTGTCTGCATTGAAGGGCCTGCCAGGTGAGACGAGCTGCAAATGCCCTTCTGATTGTGTGTTCCATAGAATCACAGTTGTGTTCTGCAGAGCATGGGATACAGAAGAGTTCTGTGCTTTCTGCTCTTGGGAGTTTGTATAGCATAAAAGATGACTTTGTTACCTAACAAATGACTAAGTGAATAACATCTTCTTTAAGACATCACCCAGGGCCGGGGATTTAGCTCAGTGGTTCTGGTGCCTGCCTCACAAGCACCAAGGGCCCGAGTTCTATCCCCAGTACCAAAAAAACAAAGAGGAATCTCCCACAGACACAAACTTAAAACAAACAAAAAGTTGAGCAAGACCTCACGTTTTGTTAAATAGCCCATAACCAAGTTTAAAAATGGAGTATTTGTTTTTCAAACACATTAATGCTAGTAGCCATTGTTATATTCTTACTGAAATAATAGTTTATGTGTGTGATACTGTCATACTATTGATCCTTATTAATTCTCCCCCCCCCTTTTTTCTCTCTTAGATTTTACATTGTGCTATTGGTAAGTATGGAATTTCTCCCTATTCTGTAAAATGGATTGTCTTTTTTTTTAATCATAGATAAAAGCTTGGTTCTTATTAAATATTGAAATATTGAAAAGTTAAACCATTTCACCGTATGTATAAAATTGTTCAAATTGGAATGGCTTTTGCTTTCCTAAAATCCTAAGTACTATTTATTTTTGGTTTTTTTTTGGGGGGGGTACTGGGAATCGAACTCGGGTCCTTGAGCTTGCAAGGCAGACAGCAGCACCACTGAGCTAAATCCCCAGCCCCATAGGTACTATTTAGATGTTATTGAACATTTTGTCACACCTCTTTTTTCTGTCACTAGAAAAGATACATCTCACCTCTGTACAAGGGTAACTGAGAAACATTTATAAAAATGTGGCTTGGGCCATGGTACTGGGCTATGTTAGAAAGCCCTCTCTCTGATCACTTAAATAGTATATTCTCCTTTTATCCTTAAAATAGAAGCACTATGTACATTGTCTCCCAACAAATGTTATATGTATATGAGAGTACAAAGAGTTTGTAACACAAACATAAGGAGCTTCTGCTAAAGCAGTTGCAGTGTGTTTTTCTTTTTGTAGGTTGGGAGAGTTACCACATTATGCTTCTAGTATGGACAGACTGACTACACCCCTCTAATTAAATAAAATTTAGCCCTGGCACCTGGCATGCCTATAATTCCAGCTACTCAGGAGTTTGAGGTAGGAGGACTGTAAGTCTAGGCCATATGGGCAATTTCGCAAGAACCTGTCTTAAAAAAGACAGGGAGCACTTGCCTACTGCGTATGGGGCACTAGGTTCAAATTCCCATTACACACAAAGAAAGAATTCATTTTGGAGTTGATAGATCCCTGTAAAGCAAACCCATAGTCTTGGTCATGTGATCCAGATTTGTCTGTCAAAAGGAAGATTTGAAGGTGATACTTACTCAGAAGCACTAAAGTCTAAAAATTTGAAAACTACAAACCCAAACCGTTATGCCCCTGATCAGTTTAATTCAGAACCAAAATGGGTACTTACTGTGTTCAGGTACCTAGGCTTGGTGAGAGGGAATTTGGAGATAATGAAGGATATACACAGGTCAAATCACAGTCTGTCTACTGTGGGTTTGGCCAGGGTCATTGTTGTATGTGGTCCCATCACTGCAGAGGAAAACAAATTGTCCTCATAAACAGTTGCTCTGCTGTTTCCCTCCTCTTTCCTAGGGCCCCAAGGTAGAGTTCAGGGACCCTTTACTATACAGGATTTTATATCCATGTATCTGTGTTTACTTGGGGGAGGCACAAACTCCCATAGCTTTCTTTTCTTTCTTTCTTTCTTTCTTTCTTTCTTTTTTTTCTTTTTTTTTTTTTTTTTGAGACAGGGTCGCACTATGTAGAGACTGACCTGGAACTCACTATGTAGCCCAGGCTGCTCTCGAACTCACAGCGATCCTCCTGCCTCAGCCTCCCGAGTGTTGGGATTATAGGTGTGCGCCACCACACCCAGCCTCCCATAGCTTCCATAGCTTTCGTTAGACTCAGAGGAATTTGTGATCCCTGAAAGGCTAAGAAAACACTGCCCTTAAAAATCTTTGGAGGATAGATATGAAAGGGGCTGGGACTCCTCTGTCACATGATCTACTTTCCCAGGGATTAAGCTAATGAGTGTTATACCTCTTTCCTAGATGAGTATGACTCCAGAGGTGGCCTAGCTTATTATTTATTATTTTTTTTTTTTGGTACTGGGGATAAAACTCGGGTCCTTGCGCTTGCAAGGCAGGCCACCGAACTGCTGAGCTAAATCCCCGGCCCTCTCTGGCTCATTTTATAACAAATGAATTTAACTCATGTAAATCTCTATATACATTTCATTTTTAGTCCTTTACCTGCAACTTTAAGATGAAAATTTTTATTGTTTTTTAAGTGGTTAAAATTGTCAGCATTTGCTTGCAAACTCGGGTCCTTGCGCTTGCAAGGCAGGCCACCGAACTGCTGAGCTAAATCCCCGGCCCTCTCTGGCTCATTTTATAACAAATGAATTTAACTCATGTAAATCTCTATATACATTTCATTTTTAGTCCTTTACCTGCAACTTTAAGATGAAAATTTTTATTGTTTTTTAAGTGGTTAAAATTGTCAGCATTTGCTTGCAAAGTGGGAGATGTACTTGGGCCACAGAGTTCTGGAATCACTTCAGGTCTTCTCACTTGATTGGACCCCCTACCTCATCTTTCCCCCTTTCTTAACTTTTGGCTGCCTCTTTTTTGGGGGGTGGGTACTGGGGCTTGATCTCAGGACCTCGCGCTTGCGAAGCAGGTGAGGGAACCACTGAGCTAAATCCCCGGCCCTTGGCTGCCTTTGTATGAGGCTCTTGGATGCATTGTATCGTAGTCATTGTGGAATATTGTGCAATTCTATAGCAAACTACAAATGGTGCCCTCCTTAGGGTTGTTTGGCTTATAATATAATATTTCCACTTTATGATAGTGCAAAAGAGATCCGCACTTGATGAAAACTGCTTCAAAGTTTGAATTTTGAGGGCTGGGGATTTAGCTCAGTGGCATCGCACCTGCCTCACAAGTACAGGATCCTAAATTTAATCCCTGGTACTGGGGGAAAAAAATTGTGTTTTTTAATTTTAATTTTGACTTTATATACAGTATGGTGCTGCAGCAGTGCTAAGCCACAGATGCTAATTGCATTTGCCAGTCAGCTTCCTAATCACCAGGGGAAAGAACCAGTTTGCTGCTGTGCACAGTGCTGCTGAGCTGTGATGTCCAATAGGTTAGATGTGTAAAGTGCATTTTCAACTTAGGATATTTTTACCTTGCGATGGACTTAATCTCATCATGACTTGAGGAGCATCATTCCATAAACTGAGTGGGTTGTGAGCAACAAACATTTATTTCTTACAGTTCTGGTGGTTGGGAATTCCAAGATCAACGTGCTGGCAGATTCGGTGTTCAGTAAGGGCCTATTCTTTGTGGATGGTGACTTCTTCCTGTATCCTCATATGGCAGAAGGGACAAGTAGACTCCTGGGGACTCTTGTATAAGAGCACTAAACACATTCGTGAGGGTCTCAAAGATTTGATCACCCCTAAAGAGACTGCCACTTAAGACAGAGTCTGCCAAAAAATGTATACATACTTTAGGAAAAGAAAAACTTATATAAATATTTTAACACTAAATTTATTGAGACATCCTGAGATTAATATGTTAAACTTTGCACTTTACAATTCTAAGAGGTGCTCAAAACTGTGGCCATTGGCTTCCAAACATTTACTAGTATGGCGAACTGCCACTTGGGTAAGCTTGGTCATTGAGATTGCTGCACCTGCATTTTCAAATTCTTCTCTAAGGGCAGCAGTGTAGTGGGTTTTCTGCAATATACAATATCCTTGAGAGTCCCCCATATAAGGATAACAGTGTCTGTTGAAAAAACATACTATTTTTCTTTTCCTGAAGTGTGAATACATTTTTTTGGTGGATTCTGTACTATTAACATTAGCTTTCAACATACTAAATTAGGAGAGGGGGTACAAACACTACAACCACAGCACTGAGCATGTGTACTATTATTTTAGTTAATATTTAATTATGTTTAATACCTGAAATCCCTTTGTCCTAGAATATAATATATAGGAAATCCCTTTGTCCATATCTGTAAAAGTTCTGTCCTTGGAAGTAAAGTTCCTAGCAAGTACATTTTTTCACGCAGAACAAAAGTACTGACTGCCTGGTGGGCCTGGATGTCAGCTGCAGTGATGGGCAGCAGGAACAGAGGTGACGACCAGTCTTAGGTTCAGGAAGCCCATGTCAGCAGGCACCCCTCTGGCTGCTCCGTCCTGCTGCATGGAGGCCTGGCATCCACATCACAGATCCTGGAGGATTTGTTCAAAGGCTTTGCCATCATACTGTGAGCTCCAGGGAAGCAAATTCTGTTTGACTCACATGAAGATACTTAGAAAGCCCTGCTTTCCCTCAGGGACTTGTTGTCAGTGAGTCTCCCTACATCATTGCCCTTTGCCATCCGTCTGCCTTTTCCTTCTCAGCTCACAGAACACTTAGGTATTTCATGTTAGAAACAATGTTTTTAACCTAACCTTTGACCCTACATCCCCCTCCTGCTACCTCATCCCACTCCATCCCTTTTACCAGAGGTGTGCTGAACTCTTACTTCTTCACTGCCACTTCTACCTGAACCCAGGATAGGGTATTTGTCCCCATTGTTCTCCAAAAATTACCCTCTGGTCTAAAATCAGCAGCAGTTTCTACTAAATTCTGAACACACATTTGGAACACGTTGGGCTTCTTGGCCCCGCTGTGCTCCTCTGAGGGCTTGCTACCTCCTTGGGGTCCTGTTCCTTTAGCTTCTGCTGTACTGAGCCCTGCTGGTTTTTCTTATCCTCTGTGGTTCTTTTCTTTCTTCCTTGGGTACCTCTTCTTTCCCTGAATTGTGTGTGTTCCCAGGGTTGTGTTGGGCTCATTGCTCTTCTGTTCTGAACACATGCTCATGGGCAATCTCTTTCCTTCTCAGGGTGTGAGAGACTCATGATACCCTTTTCTCCAATTCCCAGCTACACTTGCACCAACTCCCAGGCACCAAACTCATCCATTAATCTAATGGATATTCATTCCTGCATGCACACAGGCCCCTCTCCAGCATGACCAGAAATCCCCAACTTGTTCTGCTTCCTGATTTCTCTTTGTCAGGAATGCTACCAGCCACAGCCATAGCATTCAGTACCCCATCCTGGACCTGGATCCTGTGCATGGTACCTCTTTCTCCCTCACCCACATATGCACAGACAGGTGGTTGTTGGTTTTGTCAATTCTGTTCCTTAACAGAATTGGTTTTTCATCTCTATTCAAGACCTCAGTCTGTCCCATACAGACACCCATATAAGTCTCCCTGAACCTCCAGGTGTATAATATTTATAGTAAGAGGCACCATTTTTACTTACTGTGTTCCAGTGCTTTACATTCATTATCTCACTTACTTTCCTT